ACTGAATAGATATAAACTGAATGGTTAAAGCTTAAATGTCCTACATAACCATATTAATTTGATTGGAAAAATAACACTAAAAAACCTTGATAATAGAAATTCATGTCTTATGTTAGCATGATAAGCCGAATATTCAGCCTCGATTCATTTCATTCTACCTGAGTAGTTGAATAGTATAATCGATAACCACAAATATAGTATAATTCAAAGTGTGGTGAATAAAATATCAGTAGTTACTTCTTTTTCTATACAGAGTACCAGTGATTTAAACAAAATATGGAAATCTTACAGTTTTTGTAATCGCAATAAAATATCAAACCATTTTCTGTTCGTAGTTCACTGCAAGTGTAAACATTTCAATGTTTGATATATGTATATACAAACAACCATTATTTAAAAAAAACGGAAGAAAAAGCTCTAAGAAATGACCTAAAACAAAATAATCTCTGATGAATAACAAAATGAAACATATAGAATGTTATTTGAAAGTTGTTTTTTGCGAAAATATCGTAAAATACAATTTATACAATTAGTAATCATTTTTCTGAATTATTGGAATTAACAAGAATTAACAAGTATTTCTGCCGATAATACAAACTAAGAATCGTTTGCATTACAGAATAAATTCAAATTTACCCCGAAACCTTATAATTTTTGTACAACTGTCACTGATAATAAAACAGAACAATTCACACTCCACAAAGCAACAGTAATAAATGTTAAATAACAAGAAAAATGCATACTGTTATGATGCGTGGGATCCAAAATTTAAAAGTAGCACGTCCTAACCTTCAAATTCAATACTTGAGTAGGAAAGCGATAGTGGAAGAGAAGGTCGGTTAGGCTACAGAGTCACATGCACAAATACTCACAAATAAATGCATACACAGTCCATTTAGACAAGGAGAAACATGGATGCAAAGTTGAAGAGACTATTACCCTGTTTTTAAACTCATGCAACCACTGAATTCACATGACCAATAGATATTGATCGTCACACCTACAATCATAATACTGAAAATAGAAAGCGAAACAAATTAAGAAGAAACCTGAACCATTGTCATTCGAGGGTATATAATATACATTGTACTATCTATCCTACAATCACTTATAATTGGTTTGCACAGATCAATAATAACAGTGACACATGAAATGTTAACAAAAGGTTTACAATATTCTTCCTTACAGTATTCTTCAGTACAGTTTGTTGATTGTAAACCTATGATGAACTAGGATTTTGCTATCATTTGAACAGTGAACCAATGTAAAAAGAAAGACCGATTGACTTAACCTTATATTAAGCTCTACATATTCAACTGATATTCGGCGGATAAGGATTCAATACGATGACAATAGTGATACACTTCAAAATTATCGTCATTATTCATTTGGATTAACAGCTCGTTGCTTCACCATTCAGTGAAAACTGACGATTTACCGATGCCAATTCTTCAAATGATGCCTGCTATTTCCCAGTCCACGTACGCACAGGAAGATAACCTCAACCATTCTACGATTGCTTAACTGTTTTCGCCTCTTTTGGACGTCAGCCTGACGTAGCCGACTGCCCAGTGGTCAAATATTATGTCCCCGGAATGTCTTGATCGCCATTCCGCCCGGCAGGTTGTAGACCGGTCACCATAAGGTGGGAACCCTTTTTATGACCTATACAATGGCCATATGGCGAGTGGTGTATTTTTGTAAACATTACACTGAAACAGTCATTTTACCAACACTACAATTATTCAAAATATCATCAAACTCCACCCAGTTGTGGAAAGCAATTTAAAATTCTGATCACATTTCGTAAATGAAATCATTTTTAATTCAGTTTCTGACCTAATTATTCAACTTACATAATTACCAAATCAATTTATACTACTTATATGCGCAATAGCTTTATAAGTAGTGTCAAAACTTACATGATCAAAATCTTTCTCAATTTTACAATTTATCACTCACACAGATTGTGTGTACGAAATATGTATGTATCTACCTTCATTTTGTTGAGGGTTTTACAAAAATGTTACCAAATATATTCACTTTTACTATGAGAAAC